CTTAATTTATAATTATAGCATAATTCTTTGTAACAAACAAAAACTACTTTGTAAGTATTAATTGGCAGATTCTAAGCATTTGAAACAAAAAATTACTTTCAATTCTAAAAATGGATTTAAAAGCAAAACCAAGTTCCTGGAAGTGCTATTAATCTCAAACAAACGCAAATAGTTGGAAAAAATGTTAGCCATAAAATGGGACAAACATTGCAGGCATAATTCTGTATTGGAACAGGAAGATATTACAGATGATACATTTTAAGGAACAATAGAAAAGGGGCAGGGGTAAGAAACACAAATGCACAGGAACAAAGAGTTGTAAAGTGCTTAGGTAGAGATCATATGAAGATGAAAGAAATGGTCAAGAAAAATTTAAAAATAATAGTACAAATCAGAACCCAAAGTCATAAAAATTGAGAAAAATAAATGGTATATCCAAAATCCAGAGAATGTGAGAATAATTAAAGGCTCATAAAGGTAAAAATAAGATCATAAGAAAAAGGAACAGAAGTAGACCATTCAGCCCCTCAAACGTGGTCTGCCATTCTACAGAATCATGGCTGATCCGGCATTCCACACACCCACTTTCCTGCGTTTTCCCATAACCCTTGATTCACCAATTGACAAGAATCTAACTATCTCAGCTATAAATATACACTCTGCCTCTGCAGCCCTCTGTAGCACGGAGTTCCTAAGACTCTCAACCCTGCAACAGAAAATATCCCTCCTCATTGCAGTCTTAAATTGGCACTCCTTAATTCAAGACTATGCCCTTTCCTCCCAGACTCTCCCATGAGAGGAAACAATCCCCTGTGAAGCATTTACTCTGTCAAGCGCCTTAAGAATCCTATAAGTTTCAATGAGATCGCCTCTCATCGTTCTAAATTCCAGTGAGTAGAGTCCCAGCCTGTTTAGTTTTGCTCATAAGACAATACCTCCATACCAGGAATCATCCTAGTGAACCTTTTCTGAACTGCCTCCAGTGAAATTCTATCTTTTCTTAAACAAGGGGACCAAACTCGCTCACAGTACTTCAGACGTACAGTTGCAATAAGATTTCATCACTCTTTTACTCCAAGCCCCTTGAAATAAGGGCCGACATTCTACTGACCTTCCTGATTACCTGCTACCAGATTTCTGTGGTTTGTGCACAAGTACCCCCAAGTCTCTGTGTGCACCTATCTGCAGTTTTTTCTCTATTTGAATAGTACTTTGTTCTCTCTTCCAAAATGAACGACATCACATTTTCCCACATTATATTACATGCTGACTCAATGCCTCAGGATGAGTGTTGAAACCTTGGAAAGCAAAGCAGGTGCCAGTGGTCCAATTGTTTGATGGAACAGAAAGGACTCTTGAGACCTGAGTTCAAACTACAGCAGAGGAATCCCCATTTTGAGCAACAACATTCCTTCGGCCATACCTGGAGGCAGAACCTACTTTGCCAGCACTTTTGTCGGAGATAAACAACAAGCTGTAATTAATATCTTACGTTGTTAAAGTCAACCATATGAATTCTTGTTCTACAAGACAACACTGATTTTCACCAGAGGTCACCAAGGTCAGCATGAGAGTGATGAAAGATTAAAATGGCAAGACTCTCAGAATTGCATCTGCAGACAGCATGGAGGTATGGAACAAATCAAATCATCCAATTTGTATGTATAATATTTATGTGTGTTTGGCCTTCACACCCCAGAGAGGACCACATCTTGAGCATCAGGCCCAATGCACTAGGTTGACAGAAAAACAACTTAATTGCTGCCTCATGTAAACGAATGATTGGAACCCTGGACAATGCCATGTGAAGAAGCAAATGAGCAAATTTGACAACTACTGCACTTTCAAGGAAAAGTGCAGTAAATTAGAGTAGCTGTTGAAGCGTCTGGCAGAGTGCAACCGTGAACCACAAGGGTAAAGTCCCTTCGGAATGCTAAAGGTAGAGACCCATTTTATAGAAGGACAACATTCATTTCTTCTGCATTCTCAACACTTTCTGTTGTCTCTCCTCTTAAAATATTGTCTCCTGTACCAAAATTATGCAAAAGGTAAAAATTTGTATCACTGTGATAGACAAGAAGTTCAAATTGGTCTCTCAGTTCCATACTTCAATTCTCAAATTGTTCTCTCCTCTCCCAGTGTCACTATAAGTAATTTCCCACTGCATCAGTCCCTACATTTGACAGATAATTGTCTATTTCCAACAATAATCACATCACAAAACAAATACTCTGCTTACCTCATCTTTGTTACTTTTTTGAAACTTAACAACCTGCTTTCATTATTTGTATATTATTTGATCTTGTACATGTTTCTTATATTTCTATTTTACCACTTATGCTATTATCAGTTCTATCACAAGCAATCTTCAGTTCTCTACCTAATCTTTTTATAGTTCATTTTTCCTTTTTTTGTTTGCCTTTCCCATCCCATTATCTCACTGTGTGTCTTTATCAATAATGTCTTACAGTTCTGCTGAAAGTTATGCCTGCAACATTGGCATTTTCCCACTTTAGCCTGATTTTGCGTATTTCCAGCATTTTGATGAAGGTGGTAAAAGACAATTCAACAGATAAATTTAATCAGGTTGTAAAAAAAAATCATCTATTTTTATATAAAGGTTATTTGTTATTTTCACAATTTATTACAAAATGAAAAATCACACATGGAATTTTCCCAGTGCCTGAATGATGTGGGGAATGGCAATAAATCTGAGAAAATATGGCAAGAATGAAGAAATGAAATTCGGGACATTGAATAAAGCCTGCTTTTACCCTTAAAGTTTCAATAGCTAGATGAGAATGTCACTAGTAAGTGGTGAGGGCCCTATTTCATACATCTGCATCCCATCACTAGCTAATCTCACTTCATTTATATACAGAATGTTCTTCTCCCAGCTATTGACGAGAAACTAAACAGAGAAAATTCTTGAAGTCAACATCTGAAGCTGCAACTCATCAACCTCTTCTTTGGACCTTCATGTTGGCCACTATTACCCAAAATCCAATGACCTGCTCCATGGGCAACTCACATTCATTTATTTCCATTTGTGCTGTCATCTCATCCATCTTGTTACGAATGCTGCATGCATTGAGATAAAGAGCCTTAAGCTTGGACTCTACTATTATTATTTTGGTTCTAACTTCTCTGCTCTCTAATGCATATATTTTCTACCCCTTCCTATCACACTTTGGTTAACCTGCTCCTCTTCACTACCCCACCTCTGCTTTCACTTCTTTTTGATTTTTCAAACTTCCCTTCAACTGAACCTTCCTCCCACTAATTAGATTAAAGTTCAACACAATTCACCAGGACACTGATCTCAGTGTGGTTCCAATGAAGCTCATCCCGTGAAATAGCTCTCTCTCTTTTCCAGAACCAGTGTCTGTGCTGCATTAATTAGGATGTATTTCTCTGAAACCAACCTTTGAGCCACATACCTACCTCTCTAATCTTATTTACCCTGTGCCAATTTGCACATGGCTCAGGCAGTAATCTGTGGTCATTACCTTTGTGCTTTTTTTAATTTAAACCTGAGCTGTTCATAATCCCTCAGCAGAACCTCTTTCTTAGTCCTAGATATTTCATTGGTATCTATGTGACGTTCTGAGGGGTTGGGGAACTCATGGTTTGCAGAATCCTATGTTGCACAATTCAATGCAAAACATCAAATAGACCACTTTGTACAACTTAAGATGCCCTTCAAATCTATGAGCTTGGAAAACAAATATAGCATTCTTAACTTCAAATGCCTAAAGTTGCAACAGATATGTATTTAATAGAAGGTAATCAAGACAAATTCAAGACCAAATTAACATTAAGGAAATGTATTGCAACAAATGTTTTGTTCTTCAAAATCAATGCAGAAGAGAGCATCAAAGTTGCATGCTTTAAATTTCACCGCACATTGCACTCTACCTGTCATCTTGTTGCACACTCAGTAGCTATTCCTCTTCACCGCCTTGCTGTTTCCTCCTCTCAGCTTACATTCCAACCTAGCTTTGTAATGTCAGCAAACATAGATACATTACTCTTGTTCCAAGTCATTCGCATAAGTTGTAAATAACTGAAGCACCAGCACTGATCATTGAGATATTCCACTAGTTATAGTTGGCCAATTTTAGAATACCATTTGTGTAGCATCACTTCCTTTCTGTTAATCAATCTTCTATCCATGTTAATTCCATAGTAGCCCTACAGTATGGGAACAGGTCATTCAGCCCATCAAGTCCACACCAACCCTTGTTGAGAAGTGGTGATATTCTCCAACTTAAAAAGTCAAAGTTAATTAAACTGTGAATAAAAGTTTACCATTTTCAAGTTGCTATTCAAGTTAGTTTCTGTATAATTAAGCAAAAAAAAGCTATCTAATGTAAAACGTATTATACTCTGAACACTGTAGAGAACATGGATGAAATGAAGCATCAAAATTATTAAGAAATTATTCACCTCTAATCAAACTTAAATCTATAAGATATTCACAGGAGCTATCCTTGTGCCTATATCCAAAAGTGTACTGTGACAAAGTAGTCTTCCATATAGCATCCAAATATTTCAAAAAAGTAATCCAGTATCAAAACATGCAAATGGTTTCATCTGACCACAACCTCTTAAAATTGCATTTTAAAAAGTGCCATATAATTTACAAAGAATTCAGAGGTATAACAAACTCATCCAAACCTCAAGCAGATTTAAGGATTTCTTAGCAGTTTAATAAAATCTTTAAGTGTTCAAAGTTCCACTCCAATTATGCATCCCTGAACACTGTAATTTCATACTGCAGTGACAATATAATGCAACTCATAGAACAATGTTAACTGTACATTACAGGGAAACCATGTAACATATAATTGTCGAAAAGAAATTGCAAGTATAGCTTATCTGAAAATCTTACAAATGATTCAAAAAAAATCCTGGTGCAGTGTTAGGATCAAGAATCACTATTTATTTTGATTTGAAAATTATTTTAATATATCAACTTGGAAGAATAAAACATGTACCTGAAGCTGAGGCAAAGCAACCAGGGATATGTGGTGACCAGATTGTGCTGTAGATGACACTTGCATGGCCATGGAATGTAGATATTGAATTGTTAACCATTGGGTCCCACTATGAGAAACATAAGTATAGTACTGATTAATGTCTCTACAGATAAAGCCAATCTCATAATAAATGTAGTTGACACCTCAAATAAATACCTTCTGTCAAGCAACCTGTTGAGCTATTCACAAACCATGGCATCACAGTTTAAATTATAGGCCTCAATTTGATGCACTGAATCTGACAGCTGTTTCAATATCTTTTGAGAACAATGTGGAGTCATTGATTGGAAAGAGCCTTCCGATGCAAACAGCTTTATTAAAAATAAATCCATATGACTCCAAAATACTTACATTATTTGCTCAGATAGCAATTCAGTCATTAGCTAACAGTTTTGTGGAAACAAAATTCAAAAGATTTGTGATAAAGTTGTCACCACAACCCTAATAAGTTCCTCATCAGTAAAAGGTCTCTACTATTTGTTAAAGCTTCAATTTACAGGTAACTTAAACTCTGTGTCTATACCTAACATCCTCTACATTTGTTCTTAATTTTTCTTTCCCCTGATGAAATTAATTTATACCACATTCGCTTTTTTTCTTTAAAGTATTCCAAGCAATTAAGAAAATGTTTCTTAACATCACTTTGTCTAGTTCTCTTTTCATATTTTCCAATTATTTTCTGTTTCCTTACCGCCTTAATTTCAATTGCTCCTGAAAACTGGTGTATCAGGTGTACAATTTATTGTTTGACCACTGACCTCTGGTTCAGCAAGGGTGAAAAGAACTGGTATCCAAACTCAGAATTCACTTCCATGTAAATGTTAACTGACACAGTCTGTTCCCTGGCACTTTTGTAAATATGTTGCTGGAAAGTTTTTTTTTTAATTGAAAAATGTTAAATTTGAACAGGCTCTGAGATGGCTTCTTAAATGCAAAGGAGCCAAGGTAATGGTACTTGTGCATTTCCATTCATCTTTAATCTATTTTCTTTTCCTATCCCAGAGAGCATGCCAGATTGCCAAATGAGGTAGTCTGACTGTTGCACTGATGACTCCTGCTGGTCTGCAGGATGAAGGGTGCTGCTGTACCAGAAGAATTTCAGTCTTCTGCTCGATCCGCATAGGCTCAGAAATATCAAACAAATCAAATTCCTTCTTTAAAAGGCTCCATTATTGGCAATCCCAAGTAGATATTGGAATACTTGCCATGTGTAAAGAGTTCAGTGATGTTAAGATTTTATAGTTAGTTTTTATTCTGGCAAAAACCCAAAATGTTTCATCAGAACAAAAAGTGTCGACGAAAATGAAAGCCTGAGCCTTTAAGAAGGTGAAAAAAAGTATTTTTTTAAAAGTGTGTTATGACTAATCAAAGAATTGCAGTACTTTTTTTGTAGAATTTCCACTCCTTTACAGGAAAATAACAATTGTTCTAAATGCACGCTGCTTAAAAATCTTTCCATTTCTTTGCCAGTTTACTTAAACACAAAACTATGCACTGTATAAGTGACTGTCAGATACTCAGTGCTTGTTATGCATTGTATGCTTTCTTTCTGTCCTGCTTGGAAATATTACTTAATTGTTGACTTTGTGTCTGTAACAGTACAACAGTAAAGGAAACAACCAGAGCAATTCATTATCACACAGGATTAAAAACTCCTTTGTACAAGCTTTTACTGGTAATTTCAGAGAATTGTTTTGGGTGGTGAACTGGTTAAGATAAATACTGCAAATTTCATAAATAACTTCCCATTGTTTTTTGCATCAAAAGTGTCTGGGGATGAATATCAATCACATCCAAAATCTCAACACTCTGTCTTTGTAGTGTAAATGCCATGCAGGCCCAATTTGTAGTAGGAAAATAAGCAAAGGCTACATAACTGACATTTATTTTTGATAAGAGAACCTGGATCACAGAATTACAAATAAGGCAGGACACTGAAATGGGCCATTAGATCCAACCTGTTCACATTGGCATTTAACCTTTATACTACAAGTAGGCCCAATGCTATGTACCTTCCTTTTTCATATCTTTCTCTTTCCTTCAACCACCTGTCTAAATTGTTTTAAATGTTAACGTGCTCACTGTTTCAACTATTAGCATCGCATTCTGCAGGCCCCTAATACTGTTCAAAAAGACTTCTCTAGCTTGAGTCCAAAATAGCTTACATTTAACCGTGTAAGCCACTCAGTTGTCTGTATCTATCTATTCTGTTCCATAACTTCATAATTTTAAACAATGAAGCTCCATAAATAATGTCTATCACTCAGCTTTACTACACTATTTTTAAAAAAAGACAGAAGTCACACAACACTAGGTTATAACCCAACAGGTTTATTTGAAATCACAAGCTTTCAGAGCATCAGGTGAAGTGAAAGGGGAGGACACAGAACACAGAATTTATGGGCAAAGAGCTCAAGGGCAGAGAGATCAAAAGATCATACAAATGGTGTCAGTCGTGTGTTGAATAAGTCTCTGCAGGTGATCAGAAGTCTTAGACAGTCTGTGGAAAGTGTCAACAGCTCAATAAAGAGCAAAGGGATGACTATAATCCGATTAAATGAGGCAGAGAGACAATTACAAAAAGTTAAAACTATCCGTTATCATAGCGTCACATGGACAAGGAGAACCACGACTTCGACTGGGACAACACCAAGATCCTGGGACAGGCGAGGCAGAGACAAGCACAAGAATTCCTGGAAGCATGGCACTCCACGAAGCAGGCTATTAATAAACATATTGAACTCGACCCCATATACATTCCACTATGGAGGAAACCCGGAAGTGAGGCAATCCATCGCAACAGACCCCAGAGTTTAAAAGCCAGGCGGGAAAACACACCAACACTTCATCAGAGGCTGCTCTGAGGATATTACCAAGCACGGTAACGAAACGTCTGCGGAACAACAAACCAGCTCGGCGAGCCAACCAACCTCAACACCCACAACCCGAGCTACAAATCTACTCCAAAACCTTATAGCGTCACATGTGGGAAAACCACCCACCAAGTACACGGCAGATACTGATGTGACTCAGCCAATGTTGTCCACCTCATACGCTGCAGGCAAGAATGCCCCAAGGCATGGTACATTGGGGAGATCATGCAGAAGCTACAACAAATGAATGGGCACTGCGCAACAATCGCCAGACAGAATGTTCCCTCCCAGTTGAGGAACACTTCAGCAGTCAAGGACATTCAGCCTCCAATCTTCCGGTAAGATTCCTCCAAGGCAGACTTTAATTCTGCATTGTTGTGTATCTCGTCGAGCAGAAATTGATAACCAAGTTCCATACCCATGAAGATGGCCTCAACGTGATCTTAGGTTCATGTTGTGCTACGTGACCCCACCATACTGTTCCATATCTGTAAAATCTTCCTTACTGTCCTGTTTTGACACCACCACCTTGATAAATTGTTATGATCTCCCTACCTTAATTAGTTTGTACGGTTTTGGATCACTTATTACTTTGGTTGGTGTGCAACTCTTATACCTATCATGTTATACCAGTCATTTGGTTTGTCTCCAGCAACACGTTATTTTTAAGTTTTGTAATTATCTCTCTGCCTCATTTAATCGAATTATAGGTCATCTCTACACTTGTCATTCAGCTGTTGACACTTTATTCAAACTGTCCAACACTTTTGATCACCTGCAGAGACTTATCATTCGACACTCCACTCACATCATTTGTATGATCTTTTGATCTCTCTGCCCATAAATTGTGCGTGCTTCTCTCTCAGTTCATCTGATGAAGGGGCTATGCTCTGAAAGCTTGTGATTTCAAATAAACCTGTTAGGCTATAACCTGGTGTTGTGTGACTTCTGACTTTGTCCACCTCAGTCCACACCAGCACCTCCACATCATATAAAAAAAACACTTGATTATATTTCTAATTTTATGACGTTCAGAATAAGAGCCTATGCAAGCCTATTGTTTCTTCATTATTTAAATTGCAAAGAAAAGAAACTTACTACTTTTATTGTTTGATCCCACGAACCAGAAACAATCAGATGTTCTCCTCGTGTCTGGCTCCAATCAACACTGTAAACCTAGCATAGCAGAGGAAGAGAAAACTATCAGTAATTAATCAGACAATTTACCTGTGGATGGGTGGAAGTAGAACTTGGGAGGTTTATCTTCAAGATAGAGGAGAGGTGGCAGGGGAGTGGGGAAACAGGAGACAGGGCTTGGAAGTAGATTGGAATTGGGGGTGGTGATCAGGACCCAGGAGAGGGGTTGACATAAGACCACGATGGGGGTGTCAGGGAGGAAGTGGTGGGAGAACAGCAGGAGAGGTGGGAGATTTTCTGAGTGTCACTGTGCCAGGAGATGTTCTGACAGTCAAGAGGGTCACTTATTTAAAATACAAACCAAGTAGATCTCTTTTAGAAACTAACATTTGGCGATACCACTGTGACACAAGAATCCTTGCTTGAGCTGAGAGCATATCATTGACTACAGCTGAACAGGTTGAGAGAGAAGTTAATAAAGGACAAATCTCTGGTGGCCCAGTGGCAGTATCCCTGCCCCTGGACGAGGGACACCTGGGCTCAAATCCCGCCTGCTCCAGAGGTTGGTTAGAAAAATAGGTTAAAATAAAAAAAAGGGACAAATCCTATTGAACTGACTTGAGGTTTTTTTGATGAGGTAACATGGAGGACTGATGAGGGTAATGATGCACATGTGGTTTACATGGAGTTCCAATCGGCATTTGATAAACAGCTGTTCAATAAATGTTTGAGCAAAGTTAGACTTTATGGAATAAAAAAGGCATCCTAGATTTTGTAAGTGGGGGCACAGAATACAAAAGCAAAGAAATTATGTTAAACCTGTATGACATTAAGCCTCATTAGAGTATTGCATGCTGTTCTGGGTACCATATATTTGGAACGATGTGAAGGTATTAAAGAGGATGCAGAAAAGATCACCAGGAATCGTTGCAGAGATGAAGGACTTCAGGTGTACACTGGAGAAGCTGGAACTGTTTTCCTTGGTGAATGAAAGTTTGAGAGGAGATTTGATAGAGATATTCAAATCATGAAAGACCCGGACAGAAATCTTGGGAAAAACCATTCCCATTGGTCAAAGAATTGAGAACCAGAGGCCACAGATTTTAAACTTATTAGCAAAAGAATCAATGGCATCTGGAGGAAAAATATTTCTATGCAATGAGAGATCAAGATCTGGAATACACTAACTCAAAGAATGATGGAGACAGCATCCAAAAGGGAACTGGATCATTATCTGTAAAGGAAGAATGTTCAGCACTACTGTGAAAAGTTGAGGAAGTAGCATGAGTTAAATTGTTCACATATAAGATCATCATGGATACAACAGACAATGGCCTCTTTCTGTGCTGTAACCATTCAATGATTCTGAGTTAGTATTGTCTCTGTTTGTTCTTTATAAAATGCATTTACTTTTGTCTCTTTACTAAATCCCATTTAATCTGCTCTCGTTTGTTCCTTCTCTTGTTCTCAAACTCTATATATTTCATTTAAAATTCATTTAGCCAGCTCTTTTGACGTTGCCTACTGTTTTTATATCCTATTATTTGATTGGTTAGAAGATAAACAGTTTTGCAAAATGTCACCACAAGATCCCAGACAGTACATCATTATTAGATCACATTCAGCAATTTGCAGCTCATACATAATGCAAAGTCAATGCCGAACAGAAAAATCCAACTAACATCATTCATGGCCAATCCTGCCATTGAGGCAATATCTGATCCATTAAACTCTGACAAATAACATAAAATTTCTGAATAATAGGTTGAACTTTTGGCATTCTGAAATCTCTTCAAATCAATTAAATTCACCACGTTAAGGCTGTAATTCATTCAAACAGGGAATTCACTATTATAATTTTACTTGTAACTTTTGTTTACCTCTTGAGTGTGTTCTTTGAAGACTTGTAAGGGTCCAGTAGGGTTTGCAGTGTCCCAGATCTGCAGAGACCCATCTCCACTCCCAGAGACCAGGACATGCTCATTGTTCTCACTCCAAGTAACATCGAAAAGACTATCATTCCAGTCAAAACTAGACAGAATAAAAACTTATTTAAAATTAGTTTGCAAACCCATTTTCTAAAGTTACTGCATAATGTCCATCACATGCTGGTTAGGGAAGCTTTCCACTGCTCGAAATCTCAGGATTAAACTGCAGTTCTAATTAAGTAATCACTTTATTCATTTTTATGCCACTTGCCATATTTTTATTGTTGGCATCACAAATTTAGTATTAGAATTTATTTTTTTGAAAAAGAACAACACATGCACTAAGAAGTCAAATCACAATGCTCTGCACATCTATAAAACCCAACTTTACTCATTGTCTTTTTCTGCTAATGCTTCAAGACAATACATAATATTAGAGAAAACAAAAGGCTGCTTGTTCATTTTACAGTACCTCCTGAAAGGGATAATTCCTGCCTCTGTCTGTTCCAGCACCACTAACGTTCCACAGCCTGAAAAGTAGCACATACAAAATCTATCAAGCAATAAAAGTCAAGAAAATCTATTTTTAGCAGTTAATGAATAATAAATTCCAAAAGATATTTGTTACTCATACAGGCTCATCTGCTCTGTTACATTTCATTCACTCATCTCCATGTTCTTCTTTATTAGCAGTATAGCAGCAATTCACATACAATAAATTAATTACAAGGCCAGAATCACAGTGACCACATAATCACATAAATCTTGATAAAAGAAATACTTAAGTTCAAATTTGCAGGTATTATACACTTGCATTATACAGCAAATTTAGAGTTATTCCATGGTTCAAATCAGACATGCACATTTATAAAAGACTGCAGAATTTATTGCAATCTACCCAAGTTATCAGTATATTAGAGTCAAGTCCAGAGAACTCTCTAAATACAGCACTGAACTTTTTTTTTTGGCAGCTGCATACCACAACTTCAGCATCAAACTTGGAGAGATTCCTCTCACTTCAAAGTAGGATTTTTTGAAAGCTGCAACTTGGTTCCTTTCAGCTGCAGCACTCACCCACCTAAGGATGTAGCAATACTTGCTCAGCTATTCTCCCAGAATCTCCATCAAATGCATGCCACATAGATATCACCTGGAAAGAGATGAGCCTTCGCTATCAAAGTCACCAAGTTCAGAGAAAGGTGTATAGTAATGGGGTGGGAAGGATTTACCTTACTTAGTTAAACGAATTGGGTAGGATTGAACATTTAATCAAATTTCACCCATCTGAGTAGATTTGTTTTTTTGGCGCAAATACCCAAAATATCAGGCAGCCGTGCTTTATGACTTCAACTACCTAAAGTAAATTCTCTTTTTAGATTCCATTTTGCATGGATATTTTTCCTATATTTGTTACTCCAGGCTACTGTCTACTTCTTCCTTTCCAGATACCACCTGGCAGAATATCACATCAACTATTAGTATTCCCACTGAAGACTCTCAGCTCAGACATCTTTGTCAATACCACTGGAGACCTGAAGTGCTTATGCTTCAAATCAGCAGCTCAGCCAATCTAATGTATTCACATATAATCAAGGATGGTGTCGCAATCTCGCAGACCACTGCTCAAATTCTCCTTTATACAGTTATAGAGGCTTACAGCATGGAACATGCCCTTCAGCCCAACTCGTCCATGCCGACCAGATTTTCTAAACTGAACTATTCCCATTTGCCTGCGTTTGGCCCATATCCCTCTAAACCTTTCCTATCCATATACCTGTCCAAACGTCTTTTATTCAAAAGTTGAAACATATGAGATCTTCAAAGATCTGTTTGCTGACGAAGGAATTCCTGGAAAAATAATGGGCTTAATGATATTTTTAATCAACCACTTCATATTTGTTATAACGCATGTCAGAAGGGACTTGAACTTGGATCTTCGAGGGCCACTATCACTGCGCCACAAGTTCCTTACACTTGCTGTTTATACTTACATTATGCAGTTAACCTTTGACAACAGCTTCATATTTCAAAATAGAGCAGCTGACTGCTGAGAAAAGGGAGTACGGTTTGCCTTTCTCTGACAGTTCTGCATTACAAAAGAACTGTCAGAGTGGAAGTACAAATGTGCATTTCTGAAGGAACACTGAGTGGAATCTCCCGTCAGAAATGCAGAGCCCCCTTCTTCAAAAAAAACTGTATGAAATTGCAACTCTACAGAAAATATGGCCCAATAAGTGACAGAGAGTTTAAGGAATTCAGTGAACAGTATGGGTTCAATGTCAGCACATTACCTTTGGGTACCCGAGTTCAGAGAAAGACATGTCCAGATGATCAACAAAACTCTCACAAAATAACAAGGGATAAAGGAACACCCAAAACTTGCCTATTATCGTTCTGACCTATATCCATCATGGCTAACATGAAAGTCACCGAAAGAGCTGTTGACTGAAATAAAGAATGACACCTTTACGCTGCAAGATACTCTCTCCAGGTGAGCAGTAGGAATAAACACAACTCATAGATGCACAAGGGAGGCTGGTCAAAACCTCAACATGCATGCCTAACCCCAGCCTGAGTTGTTGACAGGACAAACTTTAAGTGTTCAAGATCCAATCACGAAAACTTGAACCCCTAGAAAACATTGTCAGTTAAGCCTAAACTCGAAGTCTATAAGTTGTTGAAACTGAAACTGGTCAGCAAATTAGAAGCAACAGACCCATAACCCACTTACACCTGAGCTGGGAAAGCGGAAAAGATCAACAATACAAGCAACAACCAGCAGCGGAACACCAACACTGTCGTCAGGTAGTGACACAACATCAACACCATCAAACACATTTGTTACAACACCAGAGCTAAAGCACATAACACCGGTTCAGAGAGCAGCAAGCGCCAAATCTATAAATTGGAAACATTATGTTCTAACAACCAAGCGATGCTGTGCACAATATTCCGAGTAAAGACATTAAGAGTTCACACGGCTGATTTATTTTTGTACTTAGTAGGGCTTAAGATCATCAAATTATATTGTGCACAAGCTTAGTGATGAAAAGTCTTTTGTCTCCATGTACCAATATTGTGATGTAGTTTTAAGAAAAGCTTTAAGTCATAGTCAGAAAGTTGGTCACAGTCCAGGTGTTCGAGGAGCTCCTATCAAACACAAGCCAATTGCAGAAAGGACACCAGGCTTGAAAAGTTATAAATTCATACAGCACAGACGCAGACGCTCCCATTCAACCCGACTAGACATCCTAAACTGGCTTGGTTCATTTGCTAGAATTTGGCCCAAATCCCTTTAAACCCTACCTATTCATATACCCATCCAGATGCCTTTTAAATGTTGTAAATGTACCTGCCTCTACCAATTCCTCTGGCAGCTCATTTCACATATGTACCACCCTCTGCATGAAAAAATTACCCCTCGGGTCCTTTTTAAATCCAATCCCCTCTCACCTTAATGCCCTCCAGCTTTGGGCTCTCCCACCCTAGGAGAAAGACCTTGGCTATTCATCCTATGCATGCCCCTCATAATTTTATAAACCTTCATAAGGTCACCCCTCACCCTCTGACACTCCAGGGGATAAAAGCCCAAACCTATTCCGCTTCTTCCCATAACTCAAACCATCCAGTCTCGGCAACGTCCTTGTAAATCTTTTCTGCACCCCCCCCTATAGAAGGATGACCGGAATTATATATAGTATTCCAAAAGTGGCCTCATCAATGTTCTGTACAGCTGCAACATGACCTCCCAACTCCTATACTCAATGCTCTGAGCAATGATAGTGCAGTTAGAAATGTATTTTTTCCATTGATTAAGGATTGTGAAAATTTTGTTAGAATTTATTTTAGTTTATGATGACACAAGCACACAAACTAGAGCCATCTGTTGTGGAAACTGTAAAATGCTAATAGAAATATGGGTGCATTACTAAGATTGCATTCATCACAGGACACAAAAGAACAGTACAGGGCAGAAACAGGCCCTTTGGTCCACCAAGACTGCATCAATACGTGATACCTTTCTAAACTAAAAAAACTTTTGCATCTGTGTGGCCCATATCCTTCTACTTCCTGCCTATATAAATATCTGTCAAGATACCTTTTAAATGTTGCTATATCTGCCTCTACCACTTCCTCTGGTAGTGCATTCAGGCACTTACCACCATCTATATACAAAAAAATTGCCTCTTACATCTCCTTTAAACTTACCCCCTTTTGCCTTAAACCAATGTCCCCTAGCAATTGACATTTCTACCCTGGGACAACAACTCTGAATATCTATTCAATCTGTGCCTCCTATAATTCTATAAATTTCTATCAAGTCGTCCCTTATCCATCAACATTCAGTGAAAACAAACCAAGTTTATCCAAGCTCTCCTCATACCTAATACCCTCCAAACTAGTCCTCATCCCAGAAACTCATTTCTGTACCCTCTCCAAAGCCTCCACATCCTTTTGATTGTGTGGTGACCAGAACCGTATATAATATTCCAAACATGACCTAACTAAAATTCTATACAGCTTGTAACATGACTTGCAAATTTTTATACTTGATGCCCCAACTGACGAAGGCAAGCATGCTATATGCCTTCTTGACTATCTTATCCACTTGTGTTGCCACCTTTAGGGAATTCTAGACTTGTATGCCAAGATCCCTCTGTATGTCAATGCTGCTAAGGATTCTACCATTTGCTGTATACTTTCCTCCTGCATTAGATCTTCCAAAATGCATCACCTCACATTTGTCTGGATTAAATTCCATCTGCTATTTCTCCACCCAAGTCTCAAGCCTGCTCCCCCAATCTTTGTGTCGTCTGTAAACCTACTAACCAGACCACCTACATCCTCCTCCAAATCATTTTTATATATTACAAACAAGAAGGTTCCCAGCACTGATCCCTATGACCACTGATCACAGATCTCCAGTTAGAAAAACACCCTTTCACTGCTACTCTCTTTCTTCTGTGACTAAGCCAGTTCTGTATCCATCTTGTCAGATCACCACAGATCCCATTTTACATCACCCTTTGTATCAGCCTACCACAAGGCCTTGTCAAAGGCCTTGCTGAAATCTATGTAGATAACATCTACTGCCCTGCCCTCAATCATCTTTGTCACTTTCTCAAAAAACTCAATCAAGCCTGTCAGACGTGACCTTTCCTGCGTAAAGCCATGCTGCCTATTGCAAATAAGTCCATATTTTTCTAAACGTAAGTAAATCTTATCCCTAAGAATCTTCTCCAATAATTTCCCTACCACTGATGTAAGGCTCACCGACCTATAATTTCCCTGAATACCCCTGTTACACTTCTTAAACAAAGGAACAACGTTGGCTATTCTCCAGTCCTCTGGGACCTCTCCTATGACTCAACAGGATACAAAGATTTCATACAAGGCCCCAGCAATATCTTCACCTGCCTCCCTCAGCATTCTGGGATTGATCCCCTCAGGTCCTGGAGACTTTTCTACTTTAATGCTTTTTAAAACACCCAACACCACTTCCTCCACCTCCATATTAACGTGCCCTAGAATATCAACATACCCGTCCTGAGACTCACCATCCATCCTGTTCTTCTCTTTTGTGAATACCGATGCAAAGTACTTATTGAGGACCTCACCCACTTTCTCTGGCTCCATGCATAAATTGTCTCTTTGTCCTTGAGTTGACCTACCCTTTCCGTAGCTACCCTCTTGCTCTTTACATGTATAAAACACCTTGGGAAATTTCCTTAATCTTGTTTACCAAAGACATTTCATGACCTCTTTTAGCCCTCCAAATTCCTTGTTTGAGTTCTTTCCCGCTATCTTTATATTCTTTGAGGGCGCTGTCTGTCTTCAGTTTCCTAAACCTTATGTATGCCTCCTTTTTATTTTTGACTAAGCTCTCAATTTATCTTGTCATCCAAGGTTCCTGAAACTTGCTGATCTTCTTAATTTTCACAGGATCATGCTGGCCTTGAACTCTAACCAACTGGTCTTTAAAAAATTCCCACGTGCCAGATGTGGATTTAATCTCAAACAGCTGCTCCCAGTGTACACTTCCCAAGTTCCTGCCTAATATTAGCGTAGTTAACCTTCCTTCAATTTAGTACTTTCACTCAAAGGCTACTCTTATCCTCATTCAAAAGCAAGTTAATCATGGTCACTGTTCCCGAAATGCTCCCCCACAGAAACTTCGAACGCCTGGATAGGCTCATTCCCCAATACCAAGTCTATTATGGCCCCTTCCCTAGTTGGACTATTATATCTTGTTTCAAAAGAAATCATCCAGGACACATCCTAACAAATTCTCCCCCATGCAACATGTGTGGTATGGAGAAGAACTTGCAGGCGGTGATAATATCATAAAACTTGGCCAGGTGACTTATGCTACACTGAACCTGCTGACAGAATTTTAACCCATCTGAAGCTGGCCAGGCCCTCCTTTATTTATATGCCTAGTGATTTACTGAAGTCATCAAGCCCCAAATACAATTTTGTTTTGGTAAGCTGATCAGGAAATGGCTTTTGGCTTTCTAATCAGAAGAAGATGGCTAAAGTGAAACTAGCAATGGAGGTTTAGAACTTTTTTTTAAAACTTGCCACGAGGTCAGTAATGCTGCTCTGTGTTCTGCTAGTAAACTAGTTCTTCACACCTGCCCTCCACAGGATCTTTCCAAATTCTCTTCCCTACAACTTGACCTCATTGCCAGTGATGGATCTTCTACATCAGCTGCCCATCCCTATCACTTCAAACCTAGAGTGAGACTTGAACCTGTAACTGAACCAAGGCTGAAACCTACTTAATGTTAGAAGCTGTCTTTAATAGATTTGGGTTTGAAATAAAGTCTACAGTATAGACAGTTAGAATATTTGTGTTCTTGAAATGTAGCGTCTTGGTATTATCAACTCAGCTATTTCACAAAAGTGTGAAGTCTCTGAAAAGTTATTTCAGGAGGTTGCATACATTCATGAAATCTTGCTTTGTCTCAAAGAACAAATAGTTCCATAGCTACTACATGTCTAAATTATCATTCTCTTTAGACATTTGTCACTCCATGTTTTCCATTAAATCAAGACTTCTGAAGTATTGTTTTTGTCGTGATTGTAACGAGGTCAGCCAGCTAGACTTCACAGAATAAGAGTACCCTGACTGGGGCTGTTAATCTGATCCAATCAGGGAGCGCTGGCTGACAGATAAAAACAGGAGTGTCAGAGAGATTCTGATACTGGGTACTGAATCTGACAAGGCTCTGCCAGAGTCAAGGACTTTCTACATGTAAATAAAGGGTAACTTGGTGATGGGATACTGGCCTTTGTGAAGTTATTTCAGATCTCCAACAAATTTATTTACAATTTTGCTCAGACAAATTTGTCAGGGGAGTCCAAATTAGGTACACACATTTGAGAGTCAGTATTTACGTAGGACATTGCCAAGGAATATCTTTTGGTCCAGGTTTGGGGTTGCCATAAGAATCCAGACATGACTAAAATAATTGTCACAGGTCAAGGATTGTACGCACTTACAGTTCAGACGGCTAACCTAACATCTGAAAAGACATTGTATGTCAAGAAACCAAGTTCAAATAAAATAAAATAAATAAATAAATGTGAAGTCATACATTTTAGAAGGAGTAATAGTAAAAAGGATTATTACTTAAATGGTAAAAAGTTGCAGCATGCTGCTATGCAGAGGGACCTGGGTGTCCTTGTGCATGAATCACAGAAGGTAGGTCTGCAGGTACAACAAGTAATTAGGAAGGCAAATGGAATTTTGTCCGTCATTGCTAAAGGGATTGAAATAAAAAGCAGAGAGGTTATGTTGCAGCTGTACAAGGTGCTGGTGAGGCCACACCTGGAGTACTGTGTGCAGTTTTGGTCTCCTTACTTGATAAAGGATGTATTGGCACTGGAGGGGGTGCAAAGGAGGTTCACTAGGTTGATTCCGGAGTTGAGGGGGTTGGCTTATGAGGAGAGACTGAGTAGATTGGGATTATATTCATTGGAATTGAGAAGATTGAGGGGGATCTTATAGAAACATATAAAATTATGAAGGGAATAGAGAAGATAGAAGTAGAGAGGATGTTTCCACTGGCAGGTGAAGCTAGGACAAGAGGGCATAGCCTCAAGATTAGAGGGAGCAGATTTAGGACTGAATTGAGAAGGAATTTCTTCACCCAGAGGGTTGTTAATCTATGGAATTCCTTGCCTAGTGAAGTAGTTGACGCTACTTCAGTGAACGTTTTTTAAGAAAAGGTAGATTTTTTTTGAACAATAAAGGAATTAAGAGAACGCGGGTAAGTGGATCTGAGTCCACGAAAAGATCAGCCATGATCTTATTGAATGGCGGAGCAGGCTCGAAGGGCCAGACGGCCTACTCCTGCTCCTAGTTCTTATGTTCTTATGTTCAAGGAATCAAAACAAAAGACCCTGGAAGACCTAGAATCAATGGAAAGATAAGACCAAAATGCACTGAACTTGTGTATCATACCACATTTCCGTTAGTGAAATGTTTAGTATTAATCTTTTTTATCCCAAAAATCATTAATTTGCATTCTGAATTAGTAAATGAGATTATTCTATAAAGATTTCCTTATTCTGGGGATTAGTGTAGAGTCCTAATTCCTAAAGAAACCATGCTACAACTCCTCAGGGGTTCAATTTATTTATTTATAAAAGGAGATCTTTAGGTTTGGAAACAAATAATAATTTGAATCACTATATACAAGCTTTTTTAAGAAAGGTCTTTATCATGCTATATTATTTCTAAAGAGCAGGAATTGCGCATATCCTCAGGTTACCACATTCACAGTCCTACATCAATCAATATGCCGGGTAACAATGTAAATTTATTAGTCTACTGGCTCCACGGAGAGCAACAAGAAATACCTCATTAAACTCCATCATCTGAGTAAACTGTGTTGACTTGTTGGAATCAGTAATTTAATAAAAGGAGTTCACAGCTATATTCCAGAAACGAAACCAGTTAGTCGTTTAATGCCTTTTTACTCCCAAACGTAACAAAACTGCGGATGCTGAAAATCTGAAACAAAAACAGAAAATGCTGGAAAAACTCAGCAGTTTCCCCAGCAACTTCTGTTTTTTGTTTCAATGTACTATTTTTATCATCTCTCGTAAATGGTGTTATGTAAACGTGCAAAATAATTGTCTTTGACAGTGCATTAATACTGAACATAGCTGGCCTGCCAAATTCCACTTACTTTTGAAGTGATAACCGATTCTTGATTTGAGAATGTCATGTTTATGTATGTTTTCTCAACTCTTAAAGCTAACTTACAATTCCACCTACTAAACTGCGTGATAGGTCACGGATGCATCTAGCATTTCCCCGATACCTAAAACACAAACGAGCTCGTTCTCCCGATCAGTGCCCGGCACAGTACCTGCTATTCCATAGTACTGAGAGGTAGCGCAGGCCAGTCTGGAGGGGAAATAAGGAGAGAGCTCTACGGCATAACCGTGTCGTGCAGGCACCCGGAAGGTTTTGACCAAGGCACTGTCCACCATTCTCACAATGTTAAAATGTCCAAAATTAGTCGTCAGCCACGGAGACTTTACTCCTTCTCTCCAGTGCCTTGATCTGCGGAAGAGGAGGAGTCTATACGCCCTGGACAGGAGGCCGCACGCTAAGCTTATCCGGAAATGTTGTTAAAGCCGAACCCCGGGACCCGCGAGCTCCAGCGGGGAATGGAACCCGGGGCCCGGAACTCGCGA